ACGACGTCAGCAAACCCGCGACCTACGTTAAAGAAATCCCTTACTTGTTCCGTGCACAAGGATTTTTCTGAGACTTATCGATTTGGGGTCACTTTCTGACAATTTTACCTTTTGTTACAAGTTCCTCCAACATATTTATTTCAGCTAGCAGCCGTAAAATTTACGAACAGAAACAATGAACGCTTTTTTGTTCTGATAGCAACCGTTTTGGTACTACACCGTGATTATGCACGCACGTTCTTTAATCCAGCATGTACTTTCTATGTGTATAGCCTCGGCTTTAATCCAAATTTTTTCATCCATTCATCATATTAAGGAATATTTTCCTGCTCTAAGAAATTTGATTTGAAATAAATAAAAAAAATGCTGTACACTTACATACATAAAATCATGAAAAAAGAGCCGAGAAATGATCGCACCGAGAGAAAAAAAAAAGAAAAGAAAAGAAAAAAAGCGGGGGTCGGTCTGGGCGGCATAGGTTTTGTAACTGGTTTGATAATAATAAGATATTTTGGAAATTTACCAACCTACTGACTTATCTTTACTCCATATAAAGTATAAGGATATGTGGAACAATTGTCAAATTTTAAAAACGAAAATTGAAAAAAAAATGTTTCACTGAATCATCTGCCGTTTTAGTGTCAGCTTGAAGTGGGGCGTCCAGCAGTAGTATTGGCAACATTTTCCTCATTAAGTAGTAAATTTATAGATTTCTATAACTTTTTATCTATTTCAGTTTTTACATTTTTAAAAAATTAAAGTCTAAACAGAAACTGAACCACCGACACTAATAGTAAACAACAATTGCTATTAGAGATGTTTCTGAATATGAAACAAATCCAAATCTGAAGTGAATATGAAACGAATCTGAATCGGAGGGATCTCGATCCCGATTTGAAAATTAAACACATATTGTACATTGAGAATATAATTACTGATTTTCCCCTGTGGTATATCAATCTGTAACCTGCACGAGAAGTTGAAAGTGTTTGTGCCCCTCCCCCCATATCCCGAAGGTAACAAGCCCATGATATAAATCGTATATGGATATTATATTTGTATATTAAGTTTGAATTATTTTTCTTGGGAGCTGGGGAATGTGTTTAAAATGTCAATAGTGAACCAGGAATTTAGTTTAGGGCGGGGAGGGGGAAATACCGATAATTTTCCAAAGGTAAGATAAATATTCAGCCAGGTCCATAGCAAAGATTTCAAAAAACCTGACAAGGAAAAAGAAAAAAATTCCTTAACAGTCCATATTCTTGACCTTACAGCTAAAAAAAGCGTGTGTGTGTGTTGGGGGGGGGGGGGGGTTACAGTCAATTTCTAAATAAAAATTTACTATAGAAAAATACTTCACTCAGATAAAAGTGGGAGGCAGTCCCCCCGGCCCCCCACGTTCTACGGGTTTGTCAGCCTTTTACTTTTACTCCGACTCGGAATTTTTTTTTGGACAAAAATTCAAACTCTCTCCAGCCGTGAAAAACACATTGATAGATCTGTGTGTGTGTGTGTGTGGCGGGGGGGGGGGGGGGGGTTGAGGGCTTTGATGGGCTTTAGAATTCTCCTCGACCAGCTTACGAGGGGTCCGTGTTTCTCAAAGTGAAGGGATGGCAAGTTCATTTTTGCTTACTATATTATATACAATTTAATAACTCTGAAAAATCTGGATTGCTTTGACACCTTACACAACTTGATCGCTACTGATCTGCCCAAGTTCAAGTCGTCAAAATCTTTTTGTATTACATAAGGCCAGTTAAAACTGGGTAAGACATGGAGGCCAGTAACCCCCACTTTTTTTAATAACTTTGCCATTATATACATGTACTACATAATATAATCAGATCAAAATTAAGGTTATGTCCCTCATTAAGATTATTTTCTTGGTTCAGTTACGTCCCATCCCTGTATTGTAGATACATCACTTAATGAATGTAGTAATAAATGTCTTTTCAATACATACGGAAAAAAAATCAGTTTTGTATTACATTAAAGTGTATTGTTCATCTAACTAGAAATTCGTTCCTCGAGGGAATCGTGTTAAATATTGTAAGAAAATGAAGACAGGAGGAGACAGGTTAAAATCATTGAGATGTAGGAGACAGATTAATTTTTACTTACCCATTTTAACAAGCTACATTCTTCACAAATCAAGGGCATTTCCGAGAAATGAAAGAAAACATTTTACTAGAAACTTGTAGATACAATGAAAATCGTAGAAAACTTTATATTTGTGATGCGGTGGTCATAGGGTTTCTGAAAAAGTTATATATCCGACATAATTTTCAATTACCTATAAAAAATGTAAAACGACTCACAAATAAACATTTAAACATCCTTTTCTAAAATAGGCACAGAACACGATTCTCGTTAGGAACGACAAAGTAAGTAGCTAAATAATATATAACAATACTTTACGAACAGGTTTAATTTTCCCTTGAATTGATTGGGTACCTGTTCTGTTATTCAGTCTTAACACCATCCACTAATTTTTTTTATTATTGTTACAGGGCATTTTTTAATGTCATTAAACGTAGTATTTCACGAAGTATTTCACATTGTATATTATGAACTAGTAAAATTCAAAAGGAGGAGAAGGCTCAAACATTTTTCAAATTTAAAATCCGTATTGTCCTCTGTCATCATACAGGTGAAAAATACTTTGATAATCACAGAAAAATATCAATAATCTTATACTATCATTATTCATTGTTTAATTTAGAAAATTTCTTGTGCTGATATTTTTCTCAATTTTCAAATCGGGATCGAGATCCCTCCGATTCAGATTCGTTTCAGATTCATTTTCAGATTCAGATTCGATTCATATTCAGAAACATCTCTATTAGTGAAGTGGGATGTGACGAGTACTTCCGTTCTTACAACTGTTAAAACAAGCGGTCCGACAGTCGATCGTGAACAATCGTAATGCTGACTACATGTTTGATATACTGCATATAAGATGACATATTCAAGTATTAACAACACTTCATGAAGTGCACACCTCGACTTTGCTGAATTTAAAGTTCCGTAAATAAGAAATAATTCTTAATCTTTTCACACCCCAATTTTATCAGAAATGTTCATAATAAATTACACTGGAAAAATTATTTTTGGCAATTATAAAATACCAGTATATGCATGTGCTATTAATTCGTTTAAAAAATAAAACAATTTAATCCTATTGTGATTACTGTAAAGACGTTTTGTACATGTATAAAATTACTTATCAATATGACTTGTTTTAAAACATCTAGCTGAGGCACCCCCGTGAATAAAATACATTCTGGATCACAATATTATTTAATGCACTTGGAAGAGTAATTGGACAGAAAAGAGAAATTATTTAACTTAACTTTTTAAAAATCTTTTTCTTTGCACGTTTATATAAATTTACCAACTTCCGCAGAATATTTGCAACTATTGTGACGCAAATTAGATAGGTATTTGACGTCACTGATACGTCAATGGAAACGTGGATTCAACCTGAATAATAAAGCAATTTTTTTTTAAAACCTAATTATTATATTTGGAGGTGAAAATTAATTCCGTTTTTGAAAAATAAACCAATTATTTTTGGTTGAATAAAACTCTAAGGCGTTCTGATAGTAAGATGTTTAGCCGATTTCCCGATGCTACGGGAGATAACTCTTGCATCAGAGATTTTCATAAAAATGACTGTCTATTTTGCAATAAAACTACTATTGAAAATATTTTTCCAACTGATTTTATTTTTTAAATTGAAAGATAAATATTTCTTGATTTAGTTCGGGGTGAATTATAGATCTCTTGAAAACGTATTAGAATTTACCGTTCTTTGTTTCCGACCTACATTCAATGGTTTATGTAGGGGAATTCAAGAACACAAAACAAAACGATATTTTAGTAAATCAGCTATTTTCAAACAAATCTTTAATTGCATTATTCCACATGGACTACATTAATATCGTTTTCAATAAAATATTAAATATTCGTAACATTCGATGTGCCGCCTATCAATACAATACTGCCTGGTTTTCTGGTGGACTGCCTTACATTAAGGTTTACTTTATGTAAAATCTCCACAATTGGCAAAAATCTTACAAAGATTGAAATTATTTGCCTATAAAACAGCATACACACAATAAAGAGGACAAAAGGGATCATTTTCTCATAGTATAACATGCTGCAAATAAGACTAATAAGTTTGTCATAGTAGCAGCTAATAAGTATCGGATCGGCTGGATTTTTCGATATGAGTGGGTCTTCGCTCCCCCCCCTTTTTTTTTTTAAAGTTTATCCTTAAATATTGTGTAAAAATTTACATATTTTGTTAACAGAAACAGGCTATACCTTAAAGTTTACTGACATTAATCTCCTACCAAGTGTAACATTATCGTAGTAAGTATGAACTTTAATGATAGCATTTCGGAGTTAATTTGCTAAATTTATAAATTTATAAGATGGTTTCTGAGCTATAATAAAGACTGCATTTTATGTTACCAATAAGTCTGGACAACGTTTTAAGAATTCACACTATAATTCTGACATACTAAATAGCAGTTAACTTTCATTTCATTTTTTTTTTTTTTTTTTTGCTGCGGTCTGGAGAAATCTTACTCTGGGAAAGAAAAGAGGTGAAAAGAGTTAGGTTTACTTTATCCATAATGCATTGGGCTGATTATCTTGCCACAGAAAGTGGCAGCATAAATAGGCGAAAATTTCGATGGTCTTTATTTAACAACGGTTATAAGTTAGAAATCTTTTGAGACGGCAGTTCATGTTTATACCGGGTGGTAGTAAAGTCATTTTGTACTTTTTGTATTTACTACCACCCGGTAAATTCAAAAATTACAATATGACAGCAGTTTGAAAAACAAACTTGAGATATATACAGCGTACTTTTTTTAGAGAGCAATAAATATACACCTTTTCAATGGCAGCTCTCCCTTCTGTCAATATATTTTCGGAGATCCACCTTTCTGTAGTTATATTGTAAAAGAAACACAAAACTAAACTCTTACCAGGAAAACTCTAGCATCCCCCGCCTGATGTGCTATAACGTCGTTACGAGCTAGTTTGCTAGGTATGACTTCAGCAAGTCTTACTTTGGCGTAGGCTCCCTCGCCCAGAGGCTTGATAGAACGGTATCCATGTTCATACAGTTCTTTTTTCACGATATCAGCAGAAATATTTTTGGGGTTTAAGAGCGTGTTTTCAAATATAGAATTCTTCTTTAACGTAGATGATGGTCCTTGTAACCTTATTCCTGCTTTGATTCGCTCCTCTTTTCTCATTGTTTATTTTTTACACGGTCATGATGATGAATCACAAAAGCTATTTATATTATCCGAAATTCAACGTTTTGTGTGTTTTTATTGTGACATCATTGTGAACTATGACGTCAAAATTAAAGCATAGTCTACAATGTAAAACACATCGAGGTAAGATTACAATGGATCGTATATATTATATTTGATTAAAATCTAAGCGTCGGACGGCCTCAATAAAATCGATAGTTCCTGAAGTACTAGTATATTGTATAATTTGTACAGTGGCGCCTCGTTCATCCGGAAGCCTCCGTCCCCATGAAATCGTCCGGATAAATGAATCGTCCGGATAAGTGAATCACTTCTCAAAAACCATCTCCAAACATGTATATATGCATATACTGGTATCAAATGTGAAGACAAAGGAAAAAAGTTTAATATTTTGGTTTATTGTTAAAATTATAGTTTTAAAAGAAGTAATAAATTAAAGAAAAATATGTTAAAATGTAATTTACACGGTAAAAAATGCATGATAGGCAATTTTATGCTGAAACCTCTATAGTCTATTCTATAGTAATGTGCGTATATATAGACGGTGGTTCATTAAATAGAACTTAAGACATTTCTTCAATTTATGTACCTTTTTAAACTGTGTTGTGGGGAAAAGCGTTGTTCATTTTTACAACTCTCCAAAATCTTCATGAATTTACAGATGTATATACGGTTAGCAATATGATTTTGAACGGATTCTTATTTAACTAGAGCTGAGCTCGTTGCAAAGCAACGAGTAGGTCTTCCGTTGGAGCTGCGGACAGGAAGTAGTGACATTTCAAAGTCATGCCACACTCTATGGTTATAAGCAATCTTGTAAGGGGTATCAACTTACAATGAATCGCTAGTAAAAAGACAGTAAAGGAATGTACGTGACCTTTTGTCCAAATGACCTTGCGTCAGGCAATGACATACTCTGGTTATGAGCAAACCCCATCTGTGTGCTACCGATTTGACAAGTTCACATATGTTCTTTTAGTCCATACATTCAGTCAAAACATCTTATCATTAGTGACCTTGAACATGAGTCAAGGTATGTCACACTCTGCATGATATCAGCAATGTTTCACTCGTAGAAAGAAGTAACAAATTTACAGTTTCTCTGTGACCTTGAACTTGTCCAATTGACCTTGCATCAAGACTATAACACGCACTGTTTATGAGCAATCCAAATCTGGGGTTTTTTTTCACTGGATAAGTTCAGCCATGTTCTTTTAGACCATACATCGAGTCAAAATAATTTATTAAGTTCAACACAATGATTTAAAGAATTTTATGTCCAGTGTGGATATTGAACAAGATGTGTTTTTGAAACACTGATGCTCCACATGGCAGCTTATGGCAAAGGTTTAAGTTTCTCAAATGCAAATCAAACTCCAAGGTCAACGTCAAGAAATAAAACGTGATGTTAAACAAAGAAAGATCTTGTCTCTGCAGGGAATATAGCAGTGAAATATGAAAACTCTAGCACTAACTGTTGAAAAGTTATGGCAAAATTAAAGTTTTTTGAAACGTAAGTCAGACATTAAGATCAAGGACAAATTAATGGTGACCAAGGGAAGACATTGTCACAAGAAATAGACATTGAAATATGAAAGTCCTAGCACCAATTAATCATAAGTTATGGAACGTTTAACGTTTTTTAAAAATAGGTTAAACTCCAAGGTCAAGGACAAATGTCAAAACTGTTGGTAGCCAAAGGATGGTCTTGTCACAAGAATTACACATGTAAAAATATGAAAACCTTAGCACGTACCATTCAAAAGTTAATGTTTTAAAAGTAGGTCAAAATTAAGGTCAAGGATACAAAGTCAAAAGTGTTGGTATTCAAGCTCTTGTCATAAGAATTATACATATGAAATATGAAAGCCCTAGCACCAACCATTCAAAAATTATGACCAAGGTTAAATTTTCAAAAGTAGGTCAAACTCCAAGGTCAAGGTCAAATGGTAAAAACTGTTGATATCTGATGATAGGCTATGTCACAAGGAATACATCTGTGAAATGTGAAAATTTTAGTCCTAACCGTTCAAAAGTTATGTTTAAGCTTAAAGTGTTTTAAAAGTGGGTCAAACTATAAGGTCAAGGACAAATGTCAAAACTGTTGGTACTCAAAGGAAGGTTTTGTCATAAGAAATACACATGTGAAAATAGGAAAACCCTAGCACCAACCATTCAAAAGTTATGGTTTTAAAAGTAGGTCAAACTCTAATGTCAAGGATATAAAGTCAAAAGTGTTAGTATTCAAAGGATTGATTGATTGATTGTTTGTTGTTTAACGTCCCTTTCGAGAATTTTTCACTCATATGGAGACGCCACCACTTGCCGGTGGAGAGCTACAAATTTTGTCCTATACTCGGCACTTACGGCCATTGAGCAGTGAGGGATCTTTTTCGTGCCAGCACCTACTGCGACACGAGACCTCGGTTTATACGATCTCATCCGAAGGACCGGTCTCCACGTCCCACAGTGGGATTCGAACCCGCGACGCAAGGATCAACTCCTTACTTCGCGACTCTAGAGCAGACGCTCTAACCACTGCGCCACGCGGGCGACAGTATTCAAAGGAAGCTCTTGTCATAAGAATGATACATGTGTAATATGAAAGCCCTAGCACCAACCATTCAAAAATACATGTAATGACCTAGGTTAAATTTTCAAAAGTAGGTCAAACTCCAAGGTCAAAAGGTAAAAATTGTTGATATCTGATGATAGGCTATGTCACAAGGAATACACCTGTGAAATGTGAAAACTTAAGTCCTAACCGTTTAAAAGTTATGTTTAAACTTAATTTTTATTAAGTGGGACAAATTCTAAGGTCAAGGGCAGGTTAAAATATTTATTCCCAAGGAAAGGCCTTGTCACAAAGAATTTCAGATTTGAAGTATGAAAGCCCTAACACCAACTGTTCAAAAGTTATGGCCAATGTTTATTTTGCAAAGTGGGTCAAACTAAAAGGCCGAGAGGTCAAATATGTTGTTATTCGAAGAAAGGTTTTGTCACAAAGAAAACACACGTGAAATTTCATATGAAAGGCATAGTTCCAACCAATCAAAAGTTATGGGCAAGGTTTAAGTTACAATTTGAAAATAAGACAGATGGACGGACAGGGCAAAAACTTTATGCCCCGAATCTTTGATTACGGGAGCATAAATATTTCGATGTCTTTAGGTTTCTGTGCTTGCCTGAAGTCCTCTTAGTAAACAGGAGTAAATTTACATTACATGTACGATACGCATTTACATCAAATTCAACAAGAAAACATTAATGTTGCCATCAATTGTCGCCAGGCAAATAAATGAAGTTAAATGCATTTACATCAAATTCAACAAGAAAACATTGAAGTTGCCATCAATTGTCGCCAGGCAAATAAATGAAGTAAAATCTTGATCATCAAACCGCTTCGATTTGTGTGATAGAGGCATACGTCTGAATGAATGAGACTATAGTCGAGAAGATTTACGGAAAGTTTTCTAATCGGCTGAAAATGGAACAAAAACGATAATCTTTTAAAATCTTTTTTTTAAAAAGGGACCTTTTTGTCGATAGTAAATGATAAGCAACTTTGTATATTACATATGAAAAACATATATATTTTAAAAGATGTATTTCATGGAAGTAAATACATGTACATTGTGTATCTCGTAATTTTTAAAGGGAAAAAACATTCTGATATATAATCTTTTCAAAGTATAGTTAACCTTTAATTCTGAATAACTTCTCCCACCTCAATCACATACACCAAAACTTAAACTTATATGTATAGAGCAGCCCGGTCCTCCGGCCTGCAATAACGCATACCATATTATAAATAAAGATATATATTCAGTTTCCGTGTTGAATTACTTATGCTGATTTCATCTTAAAAACCGAAGAAAAAAAACTCTTAATAAATTCTAATTAGTTAAATGTTTGACAAGTAGTGATACGAGATGCAGGTGTAATTTTGAATTCCAGCTATATTTTAATCTGGTTCAAAATATTGCTGCCAAATACCCCCCCCCCCCCCCCCCGACAAAGAAAAAAAATGTTCGTGTGTCCCCTGCGCCGTGAACTTCAATCATTGTAGAATCGATCTCGTTGCTCATTCTGTAGCATATTAAACATGACATTTTATTAATGCAGATTGATTGATTGTTTGTTGTTTTACGTCCCATTCGAGAATATTTCACTCATATAGAGACGTTATTAATGCAGAGTATTGCAACAGTCGTTTACATTTTTGAATGATTTTTTTCCCTTTGGACATTTTATAAAATTTACGGCTGTCGAAAGGATAAAAGAGGCTACGAGGTATTTAATCACTTAAACTTAAGATATTGCAGATCATATAAAACATGAGCTATAAAAGTATAATAGCCATTCTTTGTAAGCATTTAAACTCTTATATAGGGAGTGTGGCACGCTAGGTCTTGGATTTTTATGAAACTTGGCACACATTTCTTTATTGATGTATGAAACTAAAATTCATAATAAAATGGTTGCTATGGTCAATGGTTACCGTGGCAACCAACATACATTTTTCATGGCCTAAATAAACGCTAAATTTTGATGAAAAAATGAACCTTTTTGACTTATTAAAAGTCTTTAATAGAACAAGATATTAACAAGACTTTATATTTTTGCCAAAATACATAATTTTTATAGTTCTTTAGATAATTTCTAGTATTTGATTAACTTTACCTCATAGAAAAAATATCCCCCATTTTTAAGTAGGATTTTTCTGTGGGAAAATTGTAGATTTTAGGCTATTTTGAAACGCCTGGTATAAAGAGGGTGTTGCAGAATTTCGTGATTATTCCCAATATCGAGAAGGACATTTAAATACCCACGACGCATGAAGAGTTATCTCTAAATATAGATACTGCTACGTAGATGACTTTATTTATACGACGGGTATGTCCAACTTGTTATAACAAAACATTTAAAGAAAGGCCTTGGAGGTTTTAACTTTCAAGTCAGTAACGTTTATTTCA